AGAGACATTCTAGACTACTGCTCCGAGAAACGAATCCAAGTGAAGTTTATACCGAGCCTAAGCCCGTGGCAAGGAGGTTTGTACGAAAAGATGATTAAAAAAATCTTCAAAAAAATCCCTCAAGCACTCTATCAAAAATCGTCTTCTTCACATCGAAGACATAAGGACGTTTATCAAGGAAACGGAAGCCATCGTTAACACAAGACCTCTGACCTATGTTACTGATGAAGTGGACTATTTCCCACTACGCCCTACTGATTTCCTTCGTCCAAATGCACAACTCTCCGGACCTTACCCTCAAGACGTTGACTGGACCCACTCATGCGAACTATTGAAGAACTTCTGGGAGCGATGGGTAATGGAATATCTCACCTCGTTGCGTGAGCAATACAAAAATGATCACTTCATCACACGAACGCACGAAACCGATCCTCCCAAGAAAGGAGACTATGAGCTCATAAACGATCCCAACCTCGATCGAGGACAATGGAAAATGGGTCAAATCGTCGGATCCCGGGACGAATTCAAACGATCAGTGGAAATACGACTACCATCGAGAAAAGTGATAACAAGACATCATAATCTGATCTACAAAATGGAAATACCTCACACTGATGAAGTTCCGTCATCGACTCTACCGCCCCTTCGTCTTTATCCTCTACACATCCAATGATCACAAGATCAAAAGCCCGCCAACATTTTGCTTTGCTTGTCATAATGATGACATGCATGCAACTCGTCAGCACGATCAACCTTTGCTGCCCGGACGAAATGAACATCAGAAAAAGTCATCATTCACGCCACTTCATGCGTCTCACAAGGAATCGCAATCGCCAGGTATAATACATCCACTAAAGAACAATTTTGTTGGTTCCCAGTTACATGTCCTCATGGAGCTATAAGATTCGAAGGTCCTGACATTACGAATCCCTCTCTTTGCGGCGAACGATGTAAATGTCCGCCTTGGTCTCAATCTTGCTCCTTCGTAAAAACCTGGAGAACTTCAATCTCGACCGTAACATCAATACCGACAAGTCTTCAAAATTATCATCTGCATGTATGCTCTTTCAACTTTTCAGAAATATGTGATACCACGAGGCAACAATAGCACCTTCATCGTGAAAGAACTCACCTTGAGCGTACAAGACTATATCGACAAAACCGATTTTATCTGCGTGGACCACAAAGGATGGATACATCGACCAACCAGAAGAATAACAGGGACGCATCGATTTTGTAAAACACATATGTGTTGAAGCAATGCGCAGCTTTTCTGCGCGTATGACAACCCCTCACCATTTTCGTCAGCGGTAATGAATCATCGCGTGGCACACAGCCGCTGATCGTGAAAACATGGGGAGCCATCACCAAAGTTTACTATGGATATCCAGCTGAAAACACAACCAAACTGGCCGGTTCATTATCAAGACCGATACAAGTACAATGCTCACAAGGCGGACTCCTTGTTACAAGCAGTGCATCACTGCAAGTGGTGGAAGCATGCATTACAAAGTCTGCGCGTTCCTGAAAGAAATCACATCACAAGAGATACTTTTTCCAAACTCCCTAGTCATATACGACTATGAAGCTCGTCTAAAAGTCTGGCATCGGATCCGCATCGTCCATCAAACAAATGTGAAATGTAAGGCTCACCCGATATGTGAAACAATACATTGCTCCTTAAGTTGGGAATGGATCTACTACAACCAGTGCTGTACCTTCAGTCTAAAAATATACACCATACTTGTAATCATAACTTTGGCAACCGTAAGTCCATTCTTATGTTTGCTAATCAATCTGATCTTCAGAATAGCTTGCTTTCTTACACGTCCACTCCACTACTTCATGAAACAGCCATGGAACCTGCCCAGAAGAAACAACTTAAGGAGGTACTTAGTAAACGACGACGACAACGACGGATCACCCGAACCAGATTCACCACTTGTGTAGCTATGGTCATGATTCAAATTCGGCTCAGCAGCGAATGTTTCCAATTTACATCAATATCAGCTGACGAAAATATCTCTACCATAACCAACATTACGAAAACATGCATCTTCAATCAGGCTACGTCAATAACGATGCAGCCATTACAGCAAGAAGCATGTCTAGAACTCCGAGACCAAAACAACGAACAAATAGGCACTATCTCCATCACTCTACTTGACATAGTCTTTTATCACAAAAGGCATAAGCATCTTCAATTATTTTAAAGTTTCGTGAGAATCTCTGCCACATATCAAAGCCATCATAACGCCATGATTATTAGTTTGAAACAGCACCTACTTACATATCGCCAAAGAATTTAAAACAAACGGGAACTGAAATTAAGAGATTGAACCAGTCAATTCAAAGGGACTATTTTCAAATTATACTTGAGAGTGAGGTTCATTTTTCATGGCATCGGGAACAGGCGGAGGTGTAGACAACAAATCAATGATCGGTGCTGATTCGCCTCTCATCATCAATGCCACCATTGCAGGATTTTGAGCTTTTGCGTTGTTCACGGTGAAACCACTTTCCGCTAATGTTTTCTTATCGTCATGTGGTTGGAAATTAGTTGGAGTATCATATAACAAACGAACAAGCACCTGATCGGTTACTGGATCCTTCAGAACACCCTCAACTATTCTTTTCAATTCAAGTACCGGTGAATCTTTCGCATCACAGAAGACGTGCTGTTTTTCTTGAACAATTTCAAAGGAAAGCTTATGAACCATTTCGTTTACGCTATAAAGGATTGAGCGACTGCCTCCTCGTCGAGATTACAGATGACTCAAACTTGGGTAATTAAACCTATACCTAACCTATTAAGAGATAGAATACAAGTGTCATAAACGCGTCGAATTTCTCATACAAGATCACGAAATCACTCTTAAAACAAGCCACCGCTGCTATCTACTCGGAAGCTGTTTGAAAAATAAGTGCGACAATACCAAGGTAACGGACGCGTTGGAAGAATTCTCCTCTACGGCAAATAATAATCCAGGCTTCACCTACTGCACTCCTGCATGTGGTTGTTTATCCTGTGGCTGTCCATTCTGCTTCCACAGCTGCCTTTTTTACCGAATCTATGCAAAATCGACTACTCCGACAGTATATACCGTTTACAACTGCCCAGGCTGGGATCTGACGGCTACTGCTCACGTCACCGTGACTCAAAGAGGTAGCACAACTTCAACGCAAGCGTCTTTGATTCCAGGTCACACATACCGACGGAGCAACTTGCGATTCACCCTTATTGGCACGACCACATCTCAACTACCAATACTCGGCTCCACCTTCATAGAAAATGAAGACAACATCGCGATAATCAAATCTGCTCAGAGACGACAACTAATACCGCATACTGCATGTCAACTCCAATGTGCGACACTACAAGACGCCAAGGAATTCAAATGCGCATTCGCAAGCGAATCATGCAAATGTTCCTCAGGATTACAGATCGTGCAATTGCCCAAATGGAGACATGGAAGAAATAATGAAACCTAATCTTTTCCTTCCAATAGGGGAAAATTGCCGCATCACTCGCGACAATGGACAAGTTCTTGCGAAACTAAATGTCGGCTCCGTTCTGCAACTCCATATTGTGATGGACAGTCTCAAGCTTATGGCGCAACAACAACAGACCTCCTGCACATTTCAGACAAGCGACCTGATTGTCTGTTGTAATTGTTTGACGGGAGCAACATGAAACTCGCCTGCACCAGCGACGAAGGAGAGATACCAGTTGTGATAGCCTGCCACGATCAAACCCAAATTGCAAAGCGCACTACACGCAAACACATAAATGAACTTGTGTTTCACTTCTCCACAGCGGATGTCGGCATCTCCTGCTATGCGTCGTGCCTGGGAAGCTCTGCCAACATCAGTATCAAAGGAACTCTTGCGTATGTCGATGATATCGAGGCCTTATCGATGCCGGACGGAGTGTTGGCAGTAAAAGCAGAAGCTCTCCAAGTGACATAACCATTTTTTCATATGTTTTCTCAAAGGTGACGAAAGGTGTTCAAAGCTTCGCCTATTCTGTGCGGTCCTTTTTTCTTCAGGTATCTGATATAAGATTTGTCTTCACGTTGTATTGTTCCTTCTAACACTTATTTCACGTACTTATCATACTATGTTTCTTACTAAGCCTATGCCGAAAAAAACCGCTACTCTTCTGCTCGCGGGAGTTTTTGTTCATGTTTTTGGCTTTCTGCTTAATTTCGCTATAAATCACTCGAACGAAAGGATTATTCACCCACCAAGACATACTTCATATTCTCTGATTTTCTAAGAAATATTACCTAAATAGAAGAGAGCTTGGATTCCTTTGCGGAGTATATAAGCCTTCCCGTTTGATGTAATATTATTGCCTTTGCATGCCTCAATAAAGGCTTCATATCGAGCTGCTTCTATCGACAGTACAGAAACTCTTTCACTTTCTGTTAATGCTAACTACTTCCCCAGGTTCCGAGACGTTTTAAATAGGCTTTCAATCTCGAATTTTACTCCACCTACTTTTTCCTATATTGCTATTTTTCGATTCCATTCTATGAGAATAGATGAGGATTTTCCCTTCAGCCACTGCCGCTTTATATGAAATGCACATCGATTTCTCTGCATCCGTTTACGTTTATTTTGAATATTTTCAGTGCTTAAGTATTAAACCTACTGTATGGTATTAGTGAAATAGCTGATAAGAATGAATGATTGCATTGAATCAATGGACCCTTGTATGGTCCTTTCAATTCACTTGCATGTGTACGGATGAGGAGTTTCCTCGAATCATTGCCGAAATAAACCCTGGTTTCCTTCCTTTCATTACGTATATTTTGAATAACTTCAGCGTTATGGTGTTAAATCTATTGAATGGCGTTAGTGAAGGAACTCATAAGAATGAGGGTCAGTGAACCTTTTTATGACTTTTCGCTCCCCTGTTGTGTGAATAGTTGACCATTGATTTCTCAGAGTCATTGCCGCTATATTTGATATACACGTTGGTTCTCTCTGCATCTCATGCTGAACACTTTCAGTAGATCCAGAGTTATGAAACTGACTTCACTGAACGGCGTTAGTGATGCATCTCATCAAAACGAGCTACTCTGATGGATTTTTTTGTGGGCCTCTTCCCGATTCTCATCCACGTGGATGAATGAGGGTCGTTCCTTGAATCAGTGCCCTCATATGTGAAATACATATTGGTTTTTTCTGCATATTATTATGTGTATTTTGGCTAATTTGAAGACTGTGATGTCAAATCTATTGAATGGCGTTGATGAAAGAGCGGATAAAAATATAGGTCTGCACTTAATCAATGAATGAACCTTTTTACGGCCTTTCCGATTCCCTGTTATTTGCATAGTTGTCATTCGTACTTAGATCATTGCCGCCTTATTTGGAATACCTTTAGTTCCTCTGCATCCAATGGTGGACACTTTGAATAAATCTAGAATTATGATAATGACATTACTGAAGGGTTTGCACTGACAGAGTGGACGCCTGTATGATGACGTTCTGTATGCATGGATGAGGATTTTTGGCTCGAGTCATTGTAGCTATATTTTATATTCCCATTGGTTTATTCGCATCTTATTAAGTACACTTTGAATAAATGCAAATCGTGATGATAACACATTGAATGGCATTAGTGATGGAGCTCATAAGAAAAATGATCTGCTCTGAATGAAT